AATGAGGTGAACTGATCATCAGATCGCATATCCATGATATAGGTATCCAATTGATTTTCAAGAACCGCCCGATCAACAAGACTAAAATCAGTTTGATAAAACTGTGTCATTTGAATCAATTTGTCTTTGTTGAATGCATGAAATCCATCATTAGGATTCAAACATGCAATGCACAATAGCAGTTCGGTATTTAATTCTGTAAATCGATTGTTCAACTCCTGAAGCTGCATAATACTGATAACCCACTGGTCAAATAAAAATATTACATAGCATTCATAAAAGTGAGAATGCATAAGAAAACTCTTAACCCAAAATGATCTATTTTATGAAATTAAGAATGCTTAAATGATGGCCACCAAATTAGCGAACACAATGATAAGCACAAAAATAAATATCACAAGCTCACAAGAAACAAAACACAAAGGGGAAAAATCCTAAAAACAACAAGGAAGCTTATAAGTTGACATATTTCAAGAAGTTTATCTAATAAGATGGACGATAAGTATTAGTTGATGAAGAAATTCTTAATAAATTACTGAACAAAATACCAGACGCTCAAACTTCCTCAAACACTCAAAAAAACATTAAAAAAAAAGAGAAAATTTCGACAGCCTCCCAGCGTCCCCTCCCCGATGCCGGGAGGTAAGGAATTGGCTCGACTCGGCCGGATCAAATCAACGGCGAGGAGTATGGGAGAGCGAATCAATCCCAAACAAAAAAAATCTTCAGGTCTTCTAATATGGGCGACCTGCTAATTTAAGCAATTTATTTTAATTTTAAAAAATATATATTTAGTCCCCTCAAAAATCTGGCAGCCTTCCGGCGCCCCCTCCCCGATGCCGGGAGGTTGGGTGGGCATTTGCCCTTTAGCTCAACTCGGCCGGAATGAATCAACGGCGAGGAGATTGGAAGGTAGTGTCTGCGCTCCCTCGGCCAGATTAGCTCTACGGCCAAGGGCTTCGGGGGACCGTGTCAACCCCGGGACTTCTTCTGATTGTTGATTGATGACGTGTAATTTATTTTTTTATATAAATACAAGTATTCATATATTATTATATAAATGTTATATGATATCACATATAATATTTATATAATATATAATAATATTAATGCTGTGCATAAACAGCAGATGCAATTGGTACATCTTCTCTTCCACGGAGAAATCAACTTGATACTGGGATCAGACATAGGGAGGTCGAGCAGGTCCTTACGCACAGGCAAGAATCGGACAAAAGGCTTGCAGTCGCTTAGGTTGAGGCCACTCGCAGAAAGGCCTTGAGTTCGGCCTTGTTTGCAGGTGGGGGAGAGAGCCGGCGACGGAGGAGGAAGGTTCGAAGCTTCTTCTCTTGGAGAAGAGCAGATGGACAGGTTGCTTGTGAGTGGAAGACCGGCAGTAGGGGCAATTGACAAGGCTAATTTGCTGTTTTGATTTGCCGAGAGCCGAGGGCAGAAGATGGTCGAGCAAAGACGAGAGCGTCGGAGAGACCAAATCTTCACGGCAAAACCAGCATCTGAGAGCGTGCCCTCGTTCATCCTCTTTCTTTTCTTTTATACGGACAGTTGCCTTACATTGTGCTCAAGATCGTGGCAAATTATTGGATCAGAGACCGAACCTAAAGATAGGTCCGGATATTAATAAAATATTATTTTAAAATTAGCACAAGTAAAGCGCAACTAAAGCGCAACTAAAGTGTAAGTCAAAAAGCGCAACTAAAGCGCAACAAAAGTGCAACTAAAGCGCAAGGTAACGCGGCAAATTTTTATTGGATGTCCGAACTTATTTTTCGCCTCCAATCACCTATCCCAATAATTTGCCCAAGATCGTGGCGACTTGCTTTGCTTGGCCATTATATCCTTCCCAACTTACTAGAACCGCCTGGCCTATCCTTCAAAAGCTGAATTGCATCCTCCGGCCTTATCTTGAACAGAGAGAAATTAATATTTATTCTTTTCCACTAAGATCAAAAAGCTAACTGTCATCCATCTCCCTTAACGGAATATATATATTTATTTAACCACCATTCAGTTAAATTTAATTGTATTCCACTTGAATTGGTGATTGAAAACTAATAACTGAATATGAAATATTTGTTAATCAAATATCATAATTATTTCTTGAATAATCTGTTGACTTGTGTGCAAATATTTTGTATGGATTATAAGATCCTTTTTTTTTCTACTTTTCATGCTAAATATTGTACGATGATTTTCATATAAACTGCAGCTAAGATATCAATTTGTTCTCTATTATATGCTTTCAATGACGTCCTGATTGAATTGGAAATAGGTGAAATTGATATGGAACTTTTATATCTATGAATATGTTACTGACATCATTAAAGCTGAAGAGCATAGCCCAACTGACACTCAATTTGAACTTGTCCTTCCATAGCTAGTATTCATTTGAATTTCAAGCTTGTTCGCATATAGTCAAGTGGACCGAGGCCGGCGGTGGATAGAAATATGCACTTGAATGGCATGAAACGACAACCTTTAATTCTTTTAGCAAATCTTTTTTTTTTTTAATTCTTCAATCAGATGATTGTGGAGACTATGATTAATTATATAATCATGTTATAGCAATAGCTTCTCCGCAATTTTTCTTCCTATTATTCTCTTTCCAATTTTGATTGAACATTTAAGTATTGCACAAATGATATGAAAATATTCAAGGATTTTCTTACCATGAATGGGTTTTGTTCTCTTAGTATTGGAGTACGTTCGTTGTCTTCAAAACCTCAATGAGTCAATCTAATCTTTACAAAGAAGATTTTTCTTGCCGAATTCTTGTAAGCTAGCTTCATGTGCATGGTCAAGTTTCAAGTGTCAATTCTTAGTTTTATCAATAACATGCTATTGATTTATGTTAATACTTTCAATAACAGAATATGACGATCACTTCTTCTTATTGTCACCTTTTTTTTTCTTTTTTTTTTTTATAATTCGATTTGAACATATATATCATGTCACTTATGAAATGCATCATGTATGCTAATGTCATATACATGTATAAGTAATATAACCAGGATTGGATATCCAACTACATATGATATTTTTCTTATATCTAGTCCTATAGGGCAACCCTACATGAATCAATCTCAATCATATCGCGATGTTGTTAGGAATCAGTCTCTTATCACATATCACAAGCCAAGTGACTTTCATATAAAAACTCATCACTTCATGTTCGTCGGTGTATCATATCATATAAGTCAGTATCATTATGCCTCCACGTTCACACCACTTAAGATTATACCACAAACATTCTTTGAAGAAATAACCCGCATGTCCACCCTCATATACAGGGTAACATAATTTCAGTCAGCCAGAGCCAGTCAATAATTTACATTCAGCTTTTCTTGCTTCTACACACATTGTATATCATATAGATTATAATTGCAAACATCATATTTACTCAATACAATTATCAATGTACTCATCAATATGTCAAGAGTGCCTATTGAACTAAATGAACAATAAATATATGAATTTCATATATTTCATATTTAAATACAATATATTGACTCTTGATCATTTTATATTCAATATTATACTACTCATTTTAATTAAAATGATATATAAGCAAAACCACCTTAGTATTAATCAATCAAAATGCTCATGATGATGATATTTATCATATATAAAAATATGAGAGAGATGAAGAATATAATGGAAATAAATTATGAAAAAAATATTTGATGATATATATTTATATTTAATTAGCATCTTTGTATTAGTGAATATTTATTTCTTTATGAAGCTGTAAACGTGTATTAAATTTATATAACCACATACAATATTAAAATCTTATATGTTATTTTCATATTTTCGTATTGTTTGTCTAACAAATTTCTTTTTATTCTCATAATTCATCACTTTGAGGAGCACTTTTCTCCCATAAATTTCTATTTTGGATGAGTCATCTTCACATCAAAGTAAATTGATCTCAACTTTAAATTAATTAAAATTCAAGGTTAACTATACGGAAACATTTTGATAAATTAAAAGAATTTTTTGCCCATTATTTATATGAACAAAAAATATCAAGTCGTCATATGGAGAACTTTTATTACGTCCTGTGTAAGGACGTAGAGGAACGTCCGGTTGGAGGCAAAATCCCGCCAAAAAACTCGGTATTTGCTTGATACAACTAGGTATTATGTGATGTTAACGAGGAATACCGCTCTTTGAAGACTAATACCGAGTTATACCGAGCTGTACCGAGAAATACCGAGTTGTACCTAGTTTTTCTAGGAAAAACTCGTTACAACTTTTGTATAACTCGGTATTTCCCGGTTTAGCTCGGTATAACTCGGTATTGGATCTTCAAATGATGGTATTCCTCGTTATTGTTTGGTATTGCTCGGTATTTGCTCGGTACAACTCATTTTTTGGCGGGATTTGGCCTCCGACCGGACGTTCCTCTGCATCCGGTCGGAGGACGTAATAATTGTTCTCATATGGATGGCCACATATCCATGTGGTAGTTACGTTGCCATCCACATGACGAGGACTTGATCTATTTCGCTAATTTATTTTTATCCTCTTTTTTAATATTTAAATTTATATCTATTCTTGTTTTAAAATTTTACCTACTTATCAGCCCTAACTTTCTCCACCAGGTTCATCACTCATCTAGTCATCTGGTCTAGCACAACCAAACTTGATCCTCAGGCTAGCTCCTCGCAAACCGCTCAATTAAATATCTCTATAATCTTATCCCCTCTCTCTCTTTCTCAATTATTGGGTCAGGTCATCGAACATGTTCGGAGCCCAATAAAAATGCAACATATCATCTTCTACTCGGTATTGAGTGATATCGAGCTCAGTACTGCTCGGTACTCAGTACTTTACAGTACCGAGCTCAATACTGCTCAGTATTGCGAATACCGAACGTAAGCTGTGCCCGGTGACGTGACCCAATAATTCCCCCCCCCACGTCGGGTGTCCGAACCCAATAATTTGCCCTCTCTCTCTCCCCCCTTAGCTAAGTAGCCACCATGCCACTAATGCTGGGAGCAAGTTCTGGCCTGATTGCCGCCGGCGTTCCACGCTCGACTACGTTTCGATGCCAGTTCTCGCCGCCACTTCCGGCGGCCAAGTCGGAGTCTGGCGAGACCAACGACGGGCTTCAGATAGGTTCTCCGATGGTTATTGTGCAAGCGCCGCCGACGCTAAAGACCGCTGTTCCTATGCCGTCTCTGAAGGTCAACAACGGGCAGGTCAAAGCTGGTGATGTTGGGAGGTATGCGATATTTTCTATTATTCAGTATTCCTGAACCCCAAAATAAATTAAATTATATTTTATATTATTTAAATTCCTGTACTTCCATAAATTTTAAACTATTTTTTATTAAGCTACTCCATTAAAGTTTTATTTGGTTCAACTCTCTTACTGTTTCTTAAAGCTAATTTTTGTACTAAAAAGTTACTTTAAGAAGCAATAAGAAAGCCATCCAAGACTTAGGCTTCGTTTGGGACAGTTTTATTCCTGCTTATTAAAGCAACATTCTAGTTAAAAAGTTAAAAATTTTGTACTAGAAAGTCGCTTTATGAAGCAGAAAGAAAGCCGTTCCAAATGAAGCCTTAGTTTGAGATAGCTTTGTTATTTTTTTAAGGGAAATTTACATACATACCACTATATACTTAATATTTTACATATCTAACACCTCATACATTAATATTACATATATACCACTCAAATTCCTACTTTATTTCGTTTCTACCACTCCATCTAACGCCTCCTCACGACGTTTCTCTGTGTCCACCCCTTAAGAAGTATTTCTTCCCGCCGAAATTACCGTTGCCGCTAAGTCTCTCATTTTTCCTTTCGTCGGACGTCTCGCATTTTCCACCATATGAAGCTCCTGATTGCATTGTTCTTCACGGTAATTTTTTATGCCGAATTTCCTTCAGGGTTGCTGTAATGACAGTAATAAGAACTGCGAAATGTCGTAGACTAATTAGTCCACAGAGATAAATGATTTTTCAATTAATTAGTCTCCAGGCATTTTCCAATATTCAGGTTGTTCCAATAAATGATTACCTTAGCTCTAGAGATTCATGCACTTATTTTTCTAAGAAATTTTTTTAACTTACATGACATTAATAAATAGAGATAAATGATTTTTCTAAGAAATTTTTTTTATAAAATAAGTTAAAGTATTGAAATAGAAATTGTTTGTTGTTTGAAACAGAAATTTGAAGGAAATTGTTTGTTGTTTGAAACAAATACTGATGTGTTTCAAGACGACCGATTATGTAAGTGTTCAATGATTCATATGCAAGACTTCATAAATGTTCAAATAACATTTTAACCATTGTTAGTGCAGGCTTATGGTGACAATATTGAAAAAAATTTATACGAAGAGCAGAAAGAGTATATTTCTGCTGTATTTAAGTATGGTGGAATCTGGGGTCAAACCAATGACCAACATCGTAAGAGGTACGATGGTGGCAAATAAAGGACTGTTAAAGTTGAGAAAGGACAACTCACAATTTTCACACTTAGAGGGGAGATTGCTAGAATATGCCCATGGATTAAGGGTCATCCATATAATATGTATTATTATATATTTGATACATCACCGAAGGAGTACAAAGAAATCAATTCTGATGTTGAGGTGATTGAGTTCATAAATGTATATAATGATAACTTCTGTGTTGAGATAGTTATTACAATACAAGGAGCAGAAGGACATGAATCAAATTCTACTCTTAAGGAGGTGGTGAGTTCTGAACAAGTAGTTGAATGTTCTTTCAACCATAATGATGTTAGTTTGAGTGCTCCTACATCATGTTCTAAAGATATAGCTATTGGCACATATTTTCCTGATGCAATAAGTTTCAAACATGCTCTACGATCAGTTGCCATCAAGGAGAATTTTGGGGTTAGGATCAAGGCTAGTGACAAGACATGTGTTATTGCTACATGTGCATATCAAGGTTGCAAATGGAGAATTCGAGCTTCACTCTGTGAAGATGATCAATCTTTTGAAGTTAGGAGACTTGAAGGAGATCATACTTGTCCTGGTATCAATCGTGCTGGTAATAAGCTAGCAACTTCTACATGGGTTGCCAATGAAATACAAGATATTGTCAAAAGAAATCCAAATATTCCTCCAAAAGAGATCAATAACAATTTGGAGAAAGAGTACAGTCTGTCATTACCTTACATGAAGCTATGGAGGTCAAGAGAGTAAGCTCGTGATAATATATTTGGGTGTATAGATGATAATTATAAATGGGTTCCAACACTACAAGCTGAATTGATTAGTAGAAATCCTGGATCACACATCACATATTGACATACGTGACAATTCTTTTCAAAGATTTTATGTTAGCTTCAAGGTATGTGCAGATGGATTCAAATATGGTTGTCGACCTCTTATAAGTTTGGATGCATGCCACCTCAAATCCAAGCATCTAGGAATGCTTTTATCAGCTACATCACTTGACGGTGATAATGGTTTATTCCCCATAGGATTCGCTGTTGTTGAGAACGAATCTAAGCAGACATGGCTATGGTTCCTAGATAACTTGGGGGAAACCATTGGTACAGAACTAGAACCCCTTGCTTTCATTTCTGATATGGAAAAGGGTTTAGGCGAGGCCATTAGAGAAGTGTACCCTGGAGCTGAACATAGAATATGTATTCGTCATTTGTGGAAGAATATATAAAAAAAAATTCCATTGCAAAGATGATCATAAACTCTAAGGTTTGGTTTGGGCAGCAGCGAATGCATACACTTGCATAGAGTATAATAACAAGCTATGCGAACTTAGTGTTTTAAATCAGACTATACATGCGTACCTTATTTCATTACCTTACAAGTGGTCGCGAAGTTAGTTTATGGTTGGGATTTACCACTCTACCAATACGAATAATTTTGCTGAATCATTCAATGCATGGATTGGGGAAGCTAGAACTAAACCTGTTGTCGATTTGATTGACTTGATTCTTGGTAAACTCATGGAGCAAAGGAGTGCACGTAAGATGACGAGTTTGACATGGCACCGTGAATTAGTACCTCATGCAGAAGAATACATTAGAGAAATTACTACTAGAAAAGAACAATTATTAGTTCGGCAGTCTAGTTTGTACATGGCCGAAGTTGAATCCCTCCATTCAAGACATATTGTTGATGTCGAGAACAAAGACTGCACTTGTAATGTTTGGCAATTAACAGGACTTCCTTGCATTCATGCCATAGCTTTCATTGGGATGAAGGAGCATCCGTTGTGGCATACATATGTTAATGATTACTACTACGTTTACAGGTAATATTTACATTTCATAAATGAAACTTTCAATTGCAGCGCCACATTAGGTGTACTAATTACAAGTGCTTTAGGTATCGGATGGCGTACGAAGGAGCAATCGCCACATTACCTGGGAAGGATCAGTGGCAAGTAGTTAATGATGTGGTAGAGCTTGGAGTACCAAATACATCTAGACCTAGAGGAAGACCCAAAAGAAAAAGATTGCCTAATTTTTTGGAAAAAGGATAAGAAGGTCCATAAATGCAGCAGATATGGTCTTTGGGGTCATCATCGAAGTACATGCAAGAATCCATTAAGGAGTACCATTGATGACGCATTATTATCACAAGTGGGTCAACCAAAACGAGCTAAATTGCCAAATTTTTTACAAGCTGGTCAATAGCAGGTTATACAATAGCTGCATCTTGCCATATCTTGCAATATCTTGCCATATCTTGCCATAATAGCAGGTTATATAATTCAACAGCAAGTTTTACAAGCTCTGATCAATAGCAACATATACTCCATTCTGCCTTGAGCTAATACCGGATATTGGAACTACTTGGAGCCAATATTGGAAAAACCTGGATATTGGAACTACCTGGAGCCAATCCGAATTGGAGCTATTACTGGATTTTGACATCCGAACGGAACTGCAGCTACTACCGGAACCGGAGCTTTCATCTTATATTGTTGTTATAAAAATGCTAAAAAGTAATTAGATGAATATAAACACACTGTCATATCTATAATTTGGAATACAAACTCCATTGCTCAAAGTTTTTATAATTCCACAAAAACTAAAATTACATGATTCCTTTTCATACAATAGAAGGAGATAATTTCTCCAAGATACACCAAAGTTTGCTTCGCATTCCACAAAAGCAAGCACAACATATGCTTGAACACAACATAACACTAACCAAAATAAACTCGTACTGTAATGTCGATAAAAACCATCACTAACAAAACTTTCAACGTCAGACGAATCGAGTCAAAATTCTTAGAATTCCTTGCTTCATATGCCTTCAATTCGTAATGTGTGACATAAGATGGGTCTTCTTGCTCATCCACCCATTTAAAGTAACTGCAGTCGTCCTCACTTTTATTATAAACACACCTATAAAACTGCCTTCTACTGTTAGGTCCACTGTGACAGGTATACAAGACACATTTTAGATGACAATGGCAGTACACCTTAGAATGTTGCGGCCTGTTTTTCACAACGGAAGAACTCGAAGAACTCATTAAACCTTTTGCAAAACTTGAAAATATGCACAACAGCAGATTGCTTAGCAATTTATAAATTAATAAGAAAGAAAATTTCATCAAATCTGTAATTATAAAAAAAGGTCATCAAATTTGTACTTATAAGAAAATTTCAGCAAATCTGTACTTTTTTTTTCAGCAAATCTGTACTTAAATTAAAAGGTTATCAAATCGTTACATAAGCAAATGTTGCAGCTTTTGAAGCTATAATGCTTTAGTTTTAACTAGGAAAGCTAACAAAATCAATTTAAAGTCCGGTAAAGAACCTTCCTAGGAAAGCTAACAAAATCATTTTCAAAGAAATAATTTCAGAATGAAGAACGACAAACCTGAAATCAGCGGGTAGGTGACGAACAACAAGCTCTCCGAGCAAACCTGGTCATTGAAAAAAAAAAATACGAGAATGCATCAGGAAGACCGGCAAATTTGAACGAGGTCTGGCAAAACAAATCAGTTTGAGCAAAAATGAGAGAGTGCATGAGAGCTTACCTTCCTCCCCTTTTGCAAGCTCCGATTCCTTGCTTCATATGCCCTAACCGACTCTCAGATTCGCGTCCTTATTATGAGGCAGAGAAACGTCGTTCGGAAGGCAGAGAAACGTCGTGAGGAGGCGTTAGATGGAGTGGTAGAAACGAAATAAAGTACGGATTTGAGTGGTATATATGTAATATTAATGTATGAGGTGTTAGATATGTAAAATATTAAGTATACAATGGTATGTATGTAAATTTCCCTTTTTTTAAACCAATTTTTTAGTATAAAAGTTTAAAATTTTATAAAAAAAATATTTAAAAAACAATAAAAAAGTCGTCCAAATGAAACCTAGATGATGAGATTTCATGGGCTCATTTTTTTTGAGTCATATATAAATATTGATTATTACAAAATTACTATTATTTATTTACAATAATACCACTGGAATTTCAAAAATCACAATAAATTACAACAAATATTATAAAGAGTAAAATTGCAAGTTTGTTTTATGGCTTCTCGAAGCATTTTACATAAAAAACATGGAGTGAAAACGTGTTGAAGGCTTCCATGACTATGAGCAGCATATTTGCAGAAATTAGCAGCAAAAGATTATTAAATAAAGCCAGAATCAGTCTTCGTTTGGAAGAGCTTTGTTACTGCTTTTAAAATAATTCTCCACCTAGCTTTTCATAGACTTGCATGAACATAGAATCCTAAGCTTGCTGATTAGTAATCAATGACTAATACTCACCAGGATTGTATCAAGAAAAGCCAAAGATGTGTGGGCTATTCGCCTTGCGATCGGCACGCATCTCATCGACGGCAAGCATTTCAGACCATTGGATCTTGACAATGATAGCTCAGAAGCTGCTCAATCATATAGAAAAGTCTGAAAATGATTAAATTCATCAAGATTGTATAAGCATAAATATACATCCAACATATTAGTACCACTTGTACTGAATGTATTTAACCCTGGGGGGTTCTTTTCAGTAGTTTGTCTGTATCAGTCTTTCAGTTACCTGATTATGATGCAATGCAGTGGAAAGATTAATTAAAAGGTCCATCTAACAGAGAGTTTTTAGTGCAAGGACACAATTAATAACTAAATCTTGGAAGGAATCATGCAGAGAGAAGTGGAAGAACAGTTTTTTTTTTTTGGTAGTTAGCAGAGGGCAATGTTGGCCTCGTTCAGGCTCCTGAATTCCGTTCTGAATGATTTGCTCATTATTTCTGCCTCTGTTAGGGAAAATTATTAGGTCAGGACACCCGATGTAGAGATACGCCCGGTGTCCAATAAAAAATTGACATGTAGAATGTACACGTGTCTGCGGAATTTTAAGTCAAGCGCGTCAAAAGTGCAGGTAAAGCGCATTCAAAGCGCAGTCAAAACGCAGTCTATGTGGCAAATTTTAATTGGATATCTGGACCTATTTCTAGGTCCGGTGTCCGGACCTAATAATTTTCCCTTATTAGCCGGTAAATGTCTGCATAAACAAAATATAGAGAACATCCACATGATTGTTCTTGGAACTTGATCAAATTTGGGTTGATCATGAGTCAATCTTGAGCCAAATTACTCCTACGATAGATTATAAATATTTGGACTCAATTCTAAGGTCAACTGACCACTTTGGGTTTTTTTTATACATTTCTAGGGTTTTGACTTTGACCAATGACCAAAGGGGTTGACAAACACTCATGAGCCCATAGGATGAGTCAAGAGTTTTTATTCAATACTAAGGCTACTAGTTACCTAAGAGAAAACCTAGAATAAAGGGAATTTTGATAATTTTAAGTAATTTTGGGTTTTGACCTAGGGTTTACCTAGGAATTGGCTTGAATGAGCTTATTAACATAAGAATGATTCTCAGAGTTTTATGGGTTCTCTAGTGCTAGACAATGCTAAGTCTTTGGGTACTCCCTTAATATGGATCCTAAAAGCAATTTGTACACAAAGATAGGAAGGCCTAGGTGGCTAAAAAACGGCCGAAGAAAGAGAAGATTGACTCATTAAAAAATGAGGCTAACAGTTGTCATTTCATAGGACGAGTTCTCATTTTTGTTGAATTGAATTTGCTCCGATATATATTCAACTGACAATGATGATGATATTGAGATTACCCAATGACTTCACAATATTAAACTTTTGAAGTCGTCATATGATTATATTCTTTTACATTCATATGGTTCTTAGATAATTCTAAGATTTCTATCAAGAATTTTTTTTTTTTTTCATAAGTCCAAACATATATCTGAATGGTCCATTGCTAAGGCCTTATGTTAATGTCTCTAAGAGGGACCGCATATTTCAAATCTTTGACATTTAGCATCTCATATTGAAAATGAGTGACAAATTTCATAACGGCTCTATAGGTTCTTGCCTGGTTTTCAAGAGAGTTTGTGAGTTCTTTACACGACTCTATTTAGAATATTCCTACAAATTATTAGGTCCGATCACCGGACCTAAATTTTCATTCGGATTCCATGTGCTTTTAGTACTCTTTTAGTATGTTTTTGATGTATTTTTTGAAAAATAGCAGTTAATACACAATTTTAACTGCATATTAACTGTTTTTTTGCTGCTCTTTTACTAAGTATTTAAAAAGTGCAGTAAAAGGGCAACAAATATCAATGAGTAAGATATTTGTTACGCTTTTGCTGTGCTCTTACTATATTTTTGCAAATACTAAAAAAAACAGCTAAATGTAATTAAAATTGTGTATTAGCTGTCATTTACTCTTTTTTTCAAAAATACATCAAAAGTACACTAAGCGCATAAAAAACGCATGAAATACGAACGAAAATTTAGTTCCGGTGACCCGACTTAATAATTTGCCCATACACAGAGCCACAAAATGATTCCCAAAAATACTGTAGCCGTAGGAGCTAAAAATAACGTCCAACCCAATCCAAAGAACGAAGACAAAAGGCATATTCCTCTCAGAGTAATAAAGTAGTCGTCAATCTGTTAATTTGTATTCTCTCTTCTTCGTCATCAAATTCCTCGTCATGTGTCACCTTCTCTTCTCTCCCCAAACTCTTTTAATCCTTCCCCCGTCCTTCTTTTCCTGCTAATTATGCTCTCCAATCTCAATCGCCTAACAAAAATTTCAAATTTTTAGGTAGAATCGAAGAGGAGTAGAGCAAAGTTGCAGAGATGGATCGGCTGGTAAAGCTTGAGCCATCAAACCAGGTGGTGATCCGAATCGAGCCTGGCCAGCGGTGCTACGGCGTGCTCACCCTGCGTAACGTCATGTACACGATGCCGGTAGCCTTCCGGGTCCTGCCGCTAAATCAGGCCAGGTTTACGATCCGGCCACAGACAGGCATCCTCGCCCCCCTATCTACCCTCAGAATCGAAATCACTTACCTGCCTCAGCAGCCTACTGTTCCTCTCATCCCCGACTGCGTTCCGCGATCCGACGATTGCTTCTATGTCGACTCCGTCGTCTGCGTCGGCGCAACTTCCAGCGCACTCGACGCCGTCCCAGCCAGCTGGTTCAATGCAAAGAAGAAGCAAGTATTCACGGACTCCGGTCTCCGCATTTTCTATACCGGATCCGCCGTCCTTGCGCGTTTGATAGAAGACGGGGAAATGGAGAAGGTACGAGAAGTGTTGGAGCAAAGCGATCCGGATTGGCATGCGGCCGACTCCACCGACGCTCACGGCCGAACGCTTCTTCAGCTCGCCATCGCTCGCGGTCGCGCCGACCTAGTGCAACTCCTAATAGAATTCAGCGCAGACGTGGAGGCAGCGAGCCAGGGGAGGTCGCCGTTGGAAGCTGCGGCAGCTTACGGACAGACCATCATTGCCGAGCTCCTCCTTGCACGGGGGGCGTCGACGGCACAATCCCAGAGATCGGCTTACGGCCCACTGCACCTTGCAGCGGCCGGGGGTCATTCAGAGCTTCTGCGCTTGCTGCTGCTGCATGGCGCGGAGGTAGACGCGGTGGCAACGGATGGGCGGACGGCGCTGCATTTGGCCATCGCGGAGAAGCGGCGGGATTGCTCGGAAATTCTAATCTCGGCTGGGGCGAGGGCAGACGCTTGCGGGGCAGGGGGGGACACGCCGCTCCACGTGGCGGCGGCCGCAGGGGATGAAGTGATGGCGAGGCTTCTGATTGCCGGTGGATGCGCGGGACTTAAGGATGCAAGGAATAGGGCAGGAAAGACGGCGTACGATGTTGCGAAGGAGGAACGGCAGCGCCGGTTCTTTGATCTGATGAAAGCAGAAGAAAGTCTAATGGCGGCGGCAAGGAGAGGGGATGTTAGGGCATTATCACGGGCGATCGAGATCGGGGCAGCGGTGGACGGGAGGGATGGATCGGGGTGGACGGCCTTAATGATGGCGGGGTTTAAGGGATGGATGGAGGTGATTAGGCTTTTACTGGCGAAGGGAGCGCAGATTGATGCGAGGGACGAGGAGGGGTACACGGCTCTGCACTGCGCGGTGGAGGCGGGGACGCAGTCTATGTGGCAAATTTTAATTGGATATCTGGACCTATTTCTAGGTCCGGTGTCCGGACCTAATAATTTTCCCTTATTAGCCGATAAATGTCTGCATAAACAAAATATAGAGAACATCCACATGATTGTTCTTGGAATTTGATCAAATTTGGGTTGATCATGAGTCAATCTTGAGCCAAATTACTCCTACGATAGATTATAAATATTTGGACTCAATTCTAAGGTCAACTGACCACTTTGGTATACATTTCTAGGGTTTTGACTTTGACCAATGACCAAAGGGGTTGACAAACACTCATGAGCCCATAGGATGAGTCAAGAGTTTTTATTCAATACTAAGGCTACTAGTTACCTAAGAGAAAACCTAGATAAAGGGAATTTTGATAATTTTAAGTAATTTTGGGTTTTGACCTAGGGTTTACCTAGGAATTGGCTTGAATGAGCTTACTAACATAAGAAGGATTCTCAGAGTTTTATGGGTTATCTAGTGCTAGACAATGCTAAGTCTTTAGGTACTCCCTTAATATGGATCCTAAAAGCAATTTGTACACAAAGATAGGAAGACCTAGGTGCTAAAAAACGGTCGAAGAAAGAGAAGATTGACTCACTAAAAAATGAGGCTAACAGTTGTCATTTCATCGGACGAGTTCTCATTTTTGTTGAATTGAATTTGTTCCGATATATATTCAACTGACAATGATGATAATATTGAGATTACCCAATGACTTCACAATATTAAACTTTTGAAGTCGTCATATGATTATATTCTTTTACATTCATATGGTTCTTAGATAATTCTAAGATTTCTGTCAAAAAGTTTTTTTTTTTTCATAAGTCCAAACATATATCTGAATGGTCCATTCCTAAGGCATTATGTTAATGTCTCTAAGAGGGACCGCATATTTCAAATCTTTGACATTTAACATCTCATATTGAAAACGAGTGACAAATTTCATAACGGCTCTATAGGCTCTTGCCTGGATTTAAAGAGAGTTTGTGAGTTCTTTACACGACTCTATTTAGAATATTCCTACAAATTATTAGGTCCGGTCACCGGACCTAAATTTTCATTCGGATTCCATGTGATTTTAGTGCTCTTTTAGTATGTTTTTGATGTATTTTTGAAAAATAGCAGTTAATACACAATTTTAACTGCATATTAACTGCTTTTTTGCTGCTCGTTTACTGAGTATTTAAAAAGCGTAGCAAAAGGGCAACAAATACTCAATGAGTAAGATATTTGTTACGCTTTTGCTATGCAAATATACAAATACTAAACAAAAAAACAGCTAAAATGCATTTAAAATTGTGTATTAGCTGTCATTTACTCCTTTTTTTCAAAAATACATCAAAAGTACACTACAACAACAAAACAACAACATCAAGCCTTTATCCCACTACGTGGGGTCGGCTACATGAATCCTTTTTCTCCATTGTGTCCTATTAAAAGTCAAATTCTCGTTTAAATCTAAAAAAGAAAGATCATTCCTAATATTTTCTACACTAAGCACATGAAATACGAATGAAAATTTAGGTCCGATAACCCGACCTAATAATTTGCCCACACAGAGGGCCACAAAATGATTCCCAAAAATACTCTACTGTTACTCGGTAGCCCGTAGGAGCTAAACATAACGTCCAACCCAATCCAAAGAACGAAGACAAAAGGGATATTCCTCTCAGAGTAATAAAGTAGTCGTCAATCTATTAATTTGTATTCTCTCTTCTTCGTCATCAAATTCCTCGTCATGTGTCACCTTCTCTTCTCTCCCCAAACTCTTTTAATCCTTCCCCCGTCCTTCTTTTCCTGCTAATTATGCTCTCCAATCTCAATCGCCTAACAAAAATTTCAAATTTTTAGGTAGAATCGAAGAGGAGTAGAGCAAAGTTGCAGAGATGGATCGGCTGGTAAAGCTTGAGCCATCAAACCAGGTGGCTAGTAAAGCTCGAGCCATCAAACCAGGTGGTGATCCGAATCGAGCCTGGCCAGCGGTGCTACGGCGTGCTCATCCTGCGTAACGTCATGTACACGATGCCGGTAGCGTTCCGGGTCCTGCCGCTAAATCAGGCCAGGTTTACGATCCGGCCACAGACAGGCATCATCGCCCCCCTATCTACCCTCAGAATCGAGATCACTTACCTGCCTCAGCAGCCTACTGCTCCTCTCATACCCGACTGCGTTCCGCGATCCGACGATTGCTTCTATGTCGACTCCGTCGTCTGCGTCGGCGCAACTTCCAGCGCACTCGACGCCGTCCCAGCCAGCTGGTTCAATGCAAAGAAGAAGCAAGTATTCACGGACTCCGGTCTCCGCATTTTCTATACCGGATCCGCCGTCCTTGCGCGTTTGATAGAAGACGGGGAAATGGAGAAGGTACGAGAAGTGTTGGAGCAAAGCGATCCGGATTGGCATGCGGCCGACTCCACCGACGCTCACGGCCGAACGCTTCTTCAGCTCGCCATCGCTCGCGGTCGCGCCGACCTAGTGCAAATCCTCATAGAATTCAGCGCAGACGTGGAAGCAGCGAGCCAGGGGAGGTCGCCGTTGGAAGCTGCGGCAGCTTACGGACAGACCATCATTGCCGAGCTCCTCCTTGCACGGGGGGCGTCGACGGCACAATCCCAGAGATCGGCTTACGGCCCACTGCACCTTGCAGCGGCCGGGGGTCATTCAGAGCTTCTGCGCTTGCTGCTGCTGCATGGCGCGGAGGTAGACGCGGTGGCAACGGATGGGCGGACGGCGCTGCATTTGGCCATCGCGGAGAAGCGGCGGGATTGCTCGGAAATTCTAATCTCGGCTGGGGCGAGGGCAGACGCTTGCGGGGCAGGGGGGGACACGCCGCTCCACGTGGCGGCGGCCGCAGGGAATGAAGTGATGGCGAGGCTTCTGATTGCCGGTGGATGCGCGGGACTTAAGGATGCAAGGAATAGGGCAGGAAAGACGGCGTACGATGTTGCGAAGGAGGAACGGCAGCGCCGGTTCTTTGATCTGATGAAAGCAGAAGAAAGTCTAATGGCGGCGGCAAGGAGAGGGGATGTTAGGGCATTATCACGGGCGATCGAGATCGGGGCAGCGGTGGACGGGAGGGATGGATCGGGGTGGACGGCCTTAATGATGGCGGGGTTTAAGGGATGGATGGAGGTGATTAGGCTTTTACTGGCGAAGGGAGCGCAGATTGATGCGAGGGACGAGGAGGGGTACACGGCGCTGCACTGCGCGGTGGAGGCGGGGCAAGCTGAGGCAGTCGAGATGCTCGTGAAGCGTGGAGCGGATCTGATGGCTAGGACGGCGAAGGGGAAGACGGCGGTGGAGATCGCCGGAGCGCTTGGGTATGTAGGGATCGTGAGGATACTTGTGCGGGGTGGGGTCGTGAAGGTGTGCGAGCAAGCAGCAATGGTGGTAGAGGTGAGGCCAGTGTTGGGAAAGGGGAAAAAGAATGGAAATCGGATCGCCTGCGGAAGCGGCGGCGGCGGCCGTGGCGGTAGGGTAATGAGAGCGGGGTTCGTCGATCGGACGACGCAATGGCGGTGGCGAGCTATGAACGGCGGGGAATTTGGGAGGAGGGTGATTTTGTAATTTCGTAAATGATGTTCGAGTAATTACTTAACTAACCAAAAAATGCCAAATTTTCAGGAGGATCTCTTTTTTTTAGGAACTTTTTGGATTTAATAAATTCTGTAAATCCGAATTTATTAAATTAAAATTCTGAAAATTTTGGCAAAATTTTTTTTCTAAGGTTAGTAAATCTTGATAAATTGTTTAGTAATGTAACTCAAGATTTATGTAAATAAATTTATAATGAAATAATATAATCACACAAAAAGTTACATTATCATTTTATTTTATTTATTACATGTGCTTCTTATAATTTTTTTATAACCAAATCTATCTATTCATAAGGAAAGAGAAAAAAGAAAAGAGAAAAGAGAAAAAAGAAAGTTGAAGACATAAAATTCAATGGAGAGAAATAGCTCAGAGATCAAAGATTGTAGCTTGAAAAAACATTGAATGTGAATGGCGGCAACAGAATCATCAGAGGGTGACGTTGATGAGAGTTCATGTGAGTAGCGCTCTACTCTTGGAGTTTGTTTTGATGCTCGACACTCTTGTTTTCCCTTTTGTCATCTCATATTTCATCTCTAGGTTATTTACCTTCGGCCAATTGCCTGTTGAACTTAAGAGGAAAGCGATGTGAAATCACGATTTAACTTATTGGTAACACACACAACATATGATGAAGTTTTTCATATGGTATTAGTGGAGTCTAGCTCATATGCTTTAGTAATGTATGTGAAAGTTGTCACGACCCAACCCGACCGGGACGGATCCCGCTCGCATCGGGCCGCGACGGAACCTAAACTTGAAATCCATGATCTGATTTTGGAATTTGCTTCAGAACTTTCTTCCAAATATTACACAGACAGAAAAACACAAAGCTACTATAAACATCCAAACACAGAAAAGTTCATCTATTATTTCTTTCCTCAAAATAATCATATATATATACAGTACATGGCTTACGGACAGAAAGAACAGAACAGAACAGAAAAGTCATGACTGTACAAAAATCAAAAGTATCAAGTACCTAATCACAGATCAGACTCTGAATTGCTAATCCACGACTTCATTCCCTTTCTCAGAACCTGAAAACCATGCAGAAAATAAGGATGAGCTAACAGCTCAGCAAGACATCACTCACCAATCAAAATCCTCAGAAATCCACATCATAAAAGTATCAGTACAGAATTCGAACAATCGTACAGAGATCGTACAACAGACAGAACAGATAACAGCTCAATTAGAAATCAAACATCGGATACGAAAAACTGAAGTCATGTTAAATCTGAGTTCATAACAGATATCATAAAGCTTTCAAATCACAGAGTAGACAGAATCGTACAGAATAATCAGAATAATTCACAGAGGAGATTTAGATATCAGATTTTAGATGTCCCTGACACAAATAGAATCTCGACAGATTCTGACCCCTTATGCCTCCATTCCCTGACATAGACAGAATCTCAACGGATTCTGACCCCTTATGTCTCCCGTTGTGCTTATAGCACCAGAATAGAACAGATATCAGATGTTACAGAACAGAACTTATTTTCAGATTTCAGAGCTCATTTCAGATTAGGACCAACAACCATTGGATGAGTCTATTTCCCTCTGGCCTTTTCCAAGTCTGGAAGATCTGCAAACAGACAAGAACAATTCATAAAAGAGAACAAAAATTAAGGTATTTTATTCATATATAATTAATAAAAAATAATTATTTGATTCATAAACATCCTAAAAAATAATTTCAAAAATAACATTCATGTCGTATGTTGATGACGCGTGAATGCCGTTACCGACACCGACATTTCAAACCATCTACCAGTTAAAATAAATTACTAAAGAAAATGTCAAAATCATGATTGATCACTTTAGATAATATTAAATTGTTAAGATAACATTAAGCAAAATTCATTGCATTAAACAGTCACTAAAACAAGTGTAGGCTTCAGCTTTCTTACTGATGCTTAAAATAACTTTTTTGTACTAAACAAAAATTTAAATTTTTGTACTAGAAAGCTATTTTATGAAACAGTAAGAAAACCGTCCAAAACGAAACCTTAATTTGGTTCGACAAGAGCATAAGCAAGAACTAGGAAGCAGAAATATACTTACAGAGTAATCCATCTTCGTCGTCGCTTTCATCTCCCTGGATCAGGCCATTTAAAATGCTCAAGTTATATGTAGCAGGATCAAAAAAGAGGTACAGTACATGATAAAGAAGTAGACAGTGGAAGAACAATCACACCTCATCACCATCATCATCATCAGAAGCCGGCCAATCAGCTGTTCAGGGAGAAGGACAAAAGAGTAATCCATGGAATCAACAAGAGAGCAACATGGAATCTTATTATATAGCTAGTATACTTATTATGAATAATGTCGCCAGTATGTCAGCACCAGTAATTCGTTCAAGTAAACAATTGAAGAGTAGAATGTCAGAAAGAATAAGATTCCAGATCTATGTTTAAATGATGCTTCACAATCAGCATAGTTTATTAGATATAAATTTTAGCTTAAAAGCTTAATATTATATTATGTGGCACTACAGGCCATTATGCTTAAAAGCTGAATGATTCTTTGCTAAAAAGTTCAATAAAGTATAATACTAGCTTATGTTAACAACATCATATGGCCTAAAGAAAGATGGAAGGAAGAAAGCAAATGATCAATTTACCTTTTTTTATCAACAATATTAGTATATACTTGATGGAATCATGCCATGGCAAAAAGATTAAAATATTTCTGAAGTCTTCTGTGCATGTAAGCATTAAGCAGCGTTGAAAACAAAGGAAGCATCTCCAATGTCAATAGTCTCCATCTTGACCTGATCCTGCTGATTCTCAAGCAATATTACTAGAATTAGATAAGTTCCGGATTTTTATTTCAGTTTTGTATCTTAGTTAATCATAGGATTATCTTATTTAAGGAGAAAAAGTTTAAAATAACCTGTAAACTATTTTACGAGAAAAGAGAGGGTGGGGAGCAGTGGGCGTTTTAATACCAAACAATCTATCAAGTTTAATTTAATTTCTCAACTCCTTAAATATAATCTAAATTAACCCCTTGACTGCTCAAATTCACTTCAAAATAATCATTAATCAATTGAGATATTATTTTAGATCATATTTAAGAAGTTAAAGAAATTAAATTAAACACATTAGATAAATAAGACCCAACTATCTATATGTCCTATCGACTCCTTAAATATGATCTAAAATAATCTCTCGACTCCTCAAATTTGATCTAAAATAATCCAATGAAGTGATTATTTTGTATCATATTTAAAAAGTCAAGAGACTAAATTAAACATAATAGATAGTTGAGATCCAAACTATCTATATGTCTAATTTAATTTTTTGGCTCCTTAAATATAAACTAAAATAATCTCATGACTCTTCAAATCACATTCAAAATAATCCAAGGGATTATTTAAGATCATATTTAAGGAGTCTAAGAGATTAAAACTATTGCACTTGTGGGATTCAAAAGACACCTGCGGCGCTGTAGCAAAGGACTAACAATAGCTGATCAATACACTATATAGACCCATCAGGATCAACGTAGGTCAAATTAAGTGTACTCATACCAGAAATTTCCCCTCCAATAAATGTAGCTTCAAATAAGATTTATTTTAATTTTGGGAATCAAAAGTTTCCAAAGGAGTAAACTCCTAATATTAAATACAACCTGAGCATATTTGAGAACACTCTAGATTAAGGAGTTCATGCTTGTGTTCAAATCGGCTAGTATCGGTTGGTGTAGATATGATCAAGTCAAAGTCAGAATGGGTCTTATAGAGCTTTATAGAAGATGAAGGGTGAAACGTCCTGGGAAGCATGAAAGATAGACTAAGGGTGCGTTTGGGACGGCGGTACAGTTGCTTTGCTTTATAAAAAGTTATTAAATTTCCGTTTGGGGGATTGCGGCAGAACGACTTCAGAAAAGGTTTCGCGGCACATACCTGCTTCTCGCGACCTTTCCCCATGTCCTGCGTTCCGCTGCTTTCCGCGGAAAAATGACTTAAATCTCCGCCGGGCACATGGCGTCTCCATCGCTCCTCTTTTTCCTTTTCACCGTATCTCGCCCGCGCTCGGCTGAGATGGTCCAGGCCGAGCCCAACTTCGGCATGAGCTCTCTCCAAGAGAGGGCCAAAGATATCCTTGTCGTTGTTGCTGGGCTCCTCTTTGGCGTAGGCTGTGGCGCTCTAACTGGCGCGATCATGTACCTCGCATGGTCCCTTTTCACCAATCACTATGAAATCTGCAGGTATGGTGATGGAGAGGAAGACGAGGAGGATGAAACCCCTGTTACGTCGTGAATATTTATTAACGTAATTTTTTTTTTTTTTTGAAAAAAAATTGACATTTACATCATTTTTTTTATCTCAATATATAAGGGTATAAAGGTAATTTATTCCCATACAGCTGCAGCACAGCAACTTAATAGTAATACTTCCCAAACAAAATATACTGTTTTATGTACAGCAATTTCTGAAAGTAACTTTCTATACAATAACTTTGCAACCTACTTTACCGACAGCTGCAGCCGTCCCAAACGCACCCTAAAAGGTATTGTGATAGGAAGTGCTTATATTCACAAGCAAACCTAACCCAAACCAAGTATCGAACACAGAAAACTGCTGTCCACAGCAGGAAAACAGCTCAAATAATAGAAAATCTGAGAGAACTTGAGAGAAAGTCGTAGGAAAATGATTGCAAACACTTGTATTCCGCTAGTAGATGCAAAAAACAAGCAAGATACAATTTTCCTTCAATTCGAGAGGAAGGAAAAACTCTCCAATATCTCCGGCAACGCCAAGAGCCAACAAAAACCCTAGATCTCAAAGAGAAAACTCCAATTCAAGATGAGGAGCCAATTCCCCCCAAACTCCTAATTAAACAAAATTGCTCATAAAGGACAATAATGGACTTCCTAAAACAGCCCCTCGTTCAAATTTCTCCCTCCCAAAATCAAGTTTAAACCTGCATGGGGCCCACGGGGGATGCCGCCCCTTCCTGCTGTTTCCGCCCAGCCAGACGCCTGGCATAAAACCGGACCGGTCCAGTGGGGACCGGTCCACTCGTAACATTACTCCCCTCCCAAAGATTCACCTTGTCCTCAAGGTGAAAGTCTGAAAACTGTTTCTTCACCATCTCATAGGGCTCCCAGGTAGCCTCGTAGTCAGAAAGATCTTTCCATTGATTAACACTTCCTTGGTTCCTTTTTTATTAACTCTTATTCATTCTAGCTCCATGGGTTCCATTACCACCTCCAAGTCCTATGTCAATGATGCTGGTAGCTCGGGACTGGCTACATGCTCCCCAAGCGTTCTCCTCAACTGTGACACATGGAACACCGGGTGTATGGTGGCGGACGGGGGTAACTTCAGTCGATACGCTACTGCTCCAATTCTCCCAGTGACCTCATAGGGACCAAAATACCTCGGGGCCAATTTCTCATTTTTCCAGTTTGCCACTGATTTCTGTCTGTAGGGCCTTATCTTCAAGCAAACCTTCTCCCCCACTTCATACTATATATCTCTCCTGTGTGTGTCGGCTCGCTCCTTCATGATTTGTTGTGCCCTTCCAAGATGTTTCTTTAACTCTTCTAGCACATGATCCCTCTCCTCTAGGTACTGCTCCACTGAAGATATTGGTGTATTTCCCCTCTCATAATGCACTAAGTGTGGGGGGTCTCTCCCGTAGAGCACTTTGAAAGGGGTCATTTGAGCTGCGGAATGGTATTAAGTGTTATACCAATATTCTACCCAAGGTAACCATTTGGCCCACTTTCGTGGTGTTTCTGAAGCAAAACACCTCAAGTACGTTTCCAAGCTCCAATTTACTACCTCTGTATGGCCATCTGTCTAAGGATGATAAGCGGTACTTCTCTTGAGAACAGTACACTGCATTCGAAACAGTTCCTTCCAAAACTAACTAAGGAACACTTTGTCTCTATCGGACACAATTGATTCCGGCAGCCCGTGTAATCTCACCACTTCCCTGATAAAAGCTGTTGCCACTGATACCACGGTGTAAGGGTGTCGTAGAAGGATAAAATGTGCATACTTACTGAGGCAGTCCACCACTACCAAAATGACTGTGTAACCCTCTGAACGGGGCAGGCCGTCGATGAAATCCATAGACACTTCTTCCCAAACTTTGTTTGGAAGTGCCAATGGTTGGAGTAACTCTCCTGGTGCCATTGCCATGTATTTATTTCTCTGTCACACCTCACACCTTGCCACCATCTCCTCGACATCCTTATGCATCCCTTTCCAGTAGAGCTCAGCTGCTAACCTTCTGTATGTCTTCTGTACTCCGGAATGGCCCCCGACTGCACTGCCATGAAACTCCTGCAGCAAGTGTGGAATATGTATAGAAGTTCGTGGCATCACGAACCTCCCTTGGTATAATAATCTCTCCCCCTCAATGCTGTAACCAGGCTGACTGTTCTTGTCTTTCCTCAGATCCGCCCTGATCTTTCCCAATTCCTTATCTCGCACGCTTTCTTCCTTGATGGCCCCCCAATCGACCATTAATGGTACTGACAGGGCTAGCTCCTGGAGCTCCCCCACACATCAACCAAATCTCAAATTGGAGAAGCTAAAGAAGATCCAAATGTAGATAAATAAGCTTACCAAAGACTTGTGGGAAAATTGATCAAAGATCTTGGTAGAGCCAAGGAGACCATACATTATTCTTCAAGAACTCAGAGACTCAGGAAAAGTGACAATTTTAGTAGCTTATGTGGATGATATCATCTTGATTGAGAATGATGAAAAGAAGATAGTGATACTAAAGAAATATCTTGCAAAGGAATTTGAGATGCAAAGATCTCGGTACATTAAAATATTTTCTTGAAATTGAAGTGGCTCACTCCAACAAAGAAACCTTCATTTCATAACAAAAAATACATTAATGATCTTTTTAAAGAAACATGTAAACTAACTTGTAAACCGCACAAACACTAACAGAACCAAATATCAAATTGGGTGAAGCCAAAGAAAATCCAAGTATAGATAAAGAAGCTTACCAAAACTTATGGGAAAATTAATTTACCTTTCCCACACCATACTAGATATAACATTTGTTGTAACTTGTAAGCATGGTCAGCTAGTTCATGCAAAATTCAAAGCAAACACATGTAAGCTTAGATAGAATATAGTATTATCTTAAGAGAAACACAAGTAAAGAGATTCTCTTCAGAAGAGATTGTGGAATAACCGCATAATCATATACTAATGCATATTACATATGATCACCAGTTGATAGATGATCTAC